AATGATACTGAAGCAATCTGGGCGAATTTGGGGTTCTCCAGTGCCTTAAAATCAGCTGCTTTCGGCAGTGAAAAGATTTTTTTACCTAATTTTGCAATTGAGACGCTTGGGGAAATTTCATTCACCCAGAAAACTGTCAGAACTCCATTTTTTTCCCCAGAAATCAGCGAAAGACAGAGCGAAGGGCAGCACATCCCAGCAGATGTGAGGAGCCCCGAGTCAACGTGCCCGGTCAAAGCCCTGGAGCCCATTCCACGAACATCCAGAGATATTCCTTAAAACTCCAGGAGCGCTTTGCACGTGTGTTTTCTTCCACTCTCCCCCCAGCCCGTACAGGAACATCCCTGACAGAGGCTTCGGACACAAAAGCTGCAGCCCAAAAACCTCAATATTCCATCGGCATCGGGGGGACCTGATGGGTTGGGAGAGGAAAATACCCCCGAGAGCACCGACATCCTCCCCGAGCGCTGGAGCCGGGGCTCCCCAACGCGGTTTGGGGCAAAATCCTGGGAAAACAGGTACCGACGGCCATTAATTAAAGGGCGGGTTAATGAGCGATAAAGCTCCCGTTTGTCACAACGAGCGGTTTGTCACAAGCTGCCCGGGACCGACCGGGGTCGGGGGGCACCGGGGGACCCCCTTTTAAACCCTCACCCCCGGGGGAAAGCGGGACTGGGGGGGCCCCTCGTCGCGCTCAGAGCCCCCTTTCCCCCCTCCCAAGACGCGGCGAGGGAGCGGGAACAGGGAGGGGGAGCGGGAATGGGGGGAACGGGACCCGGGGAGGGGGAAGCGGGGGGACCCCTCGTCACCCCCAGACCCCTTTCTCCCCCCACACAGCCCCAGGTGCAGCCGGCCCGGCCCCGGCAGCAGCGCCAGGCCGCGGGGCAGCGCCTCAGGCCCGGCGGCGGCCAGAGCTCCCCGCGGGATCCGCCGGGCCGAGGCCGCGGCCTGTGCCCGTCCCCTCACGGCCGCCGCGGGGCGGGATGGGGGGGGGCGGGGGGGGGGGGATGGAAGGGGCGGGCGGGCCCAAAGGGGGACGGGGCGGCCTCCGCAAAGCCCGCGCTTACCTCAGAGCCCCGCGGGGCCGCGCGTGGGGAGCGCCGGAGCCGCCGGATCGCGGTCCCGGCCCCGGCCCGGTCCCGCCTCAGCGAAGCGGCGCCGGCGGCGGGGGGGTCGGGCCGCGACCATAGAGAGCGCGCCCAGGGGCCCCCGCCATAGAGCGCCAGCGGCGCGGAGCGCGCGCGCGCCGGGGCTTAGAGCGGCCGCCTGAGCGCCGGGCCCCGCCCGGCCCGACCATAGAGAGCGAGCGGCGGAGCGGCGCGCCGCGGCAACAGCGCCCCCCCGCGGCCGGGGGGTGGCGCAGGGTGGGGACGGGAGCGCGGTGGCCGCCGGGGAAATCACGATATTCCCGATATTCCCGATATTCCCGGTGTTCCCAGCCCTCGCCGCGGGGTTTAGCGCGCCCAACGCGCGGGCGGGTTTTACACCGAGTCCAACCTGTGCCCGATGCCCACCTTGTCCCCCAGCCCAGAGCTCTGAGTGCCAGGTCCAGGCCTTCCTTGGGCACCTCCAGGGATGGAGGGGACTCCAAACCTCCCTGGGCAGCCCCTGCCAAGGCCCGACAACCCCTTCCATGAAGAAATTTTCCCTAAACTCCAGCCTGACCCTCCCCTGGCACAGCTCGAGGCCATTCCCTCTCATCCCATCCCTCATTCCCTGGGAGCAGAGCCTGATCCCACCCGGCTCCAACCCCATCAGGGAGCTGTGGAGAGCGACAAGGTCCCCCCTGAGCCTCCTTTTCTCCAGGCTGAGCCCCCCCAGCTCCCTCAGGAGTTCTCCAGCCCCTTCTCCCTGTGCTCCAGTCCCTTCCCCAGCTCTGATTCCCAAAAAACCCCACGTTTCCCTCCTTAAAAAAACAAAAATTCCTTCATGGAAACAGCGTCTTGAAGGACTAAACGAGCAACCAGGCATCAATATTTATTAACACAAGACAAAGGAAACACAATCAATGCGTTAATGGGACACTGTCCAGCCAGGTGTTAAATTTAAAAATGTAACTAAGCTAATTTTAAATAAATAAAACCTTTATACATAATTACAGAAACGCCGGAGTCTGGATTGGACAATGGGAAAGAGGTTGACAGAAATTAAAGGAAAACAAATGCATCTAGGGCTAAAATTGATCTGGTTTTTACAACCTTATTTTAGAGCAGTTAGTAGGAAACAGCTGAATTCCGTTGATTTAAACCAGAAATGAAGTGCAAATTCCAACAGAAAGAGGATAAAACCGACCTGTTCCCACATAGTTTGCTCAGGGAAGATCCAGAAACAGTGAGACACACAAACTAGTTTAGTCCAGTGGGAAGAATTCCCAGTTTTTCAGTTTCACTGCAGTTGCTAAGCTTGGAATCTGATGGACAAGAGGAAGGAATAACGTGCCCTGTGCAACTCCAGGAGCTGGGAGGTCAAACCAGGGGAGAGAGGCTGTTTTTTTGGGAAAAGCACCCAGCCCTGCCCCTGCCAGTGTCTGGAGTGAAGGATCTTGGTTTGTTCCCATATGGAAAAATCACAAGAAGAAGGAATGGAAGGAGTGGAATGACCTGTGGGAAGCTCGTGGAGCCGGAGGAAGAATTTGGGGATTCCGGAGTCCCGGCTCCATCCTTCCTCCTCCCCCAGCACGTTGCTTCCCACTGTGCCAAAAACAGGGACAAAGCACCCAGGGAAGCCAAACTGAGCAGCTGCTCCATGGCCCTGGAATGTTCCCTGCATCCTGCAGTTCTCCAGCACAGGGAAATGGAACGTGCTGGAAGGAAGACTTGGAGCACCCAGGGAATTGCAAGAGAAAAAAAAAGCCCCCGAGGCATAAAAAGCCATGGGTGCCCATCCCAACAAAAAATGAAGGGAAAACAAGATCAAATGAATCCAGTCTCATTCAAAAATGCCACCTACCACACTTGGGAATCTCTGCTGGAATTCACACACACATTGTTTCGTTTGTGAAGGATCACGAGGAAAAATAAATGACAATCCCGGAACTGGACTTAAAATCCACTCCAGGGGACAAAAAGCATTTGCTGAAACAATTTAACTAAAGCTTTTGAGTAAAGGAAAAGGTCCAAGACCACCAGAATTTTCCCTGGAAAGGTCACATTGGAGTGAAGCTGCTCGGCCAGGCCTGGGCTGTGCAAGAAACACAAAAATGGTGACACAGAACACGGAATAACAGGAATTTTCTGGCTGAAAAGGGAGAACGACCTTTGTGCACTTGACACCCAAAACAAGCTGCAGGAGCAACTGTGTTAGTCACAGTTTCCCCTGTCACTGTCCCCACTTTGTGGTCAATTTGTTAAAACTAAACACACTAAAGATTTGGTGCCTATTCTGCTGACACTGTGGAAAACACAGAAAAGGTTCCAAAACGTGCCCCCGTGAACCGAAGTGTTTGCAAAGAACCTTCAGCCCAGACCTGCCAGAAAACTTCCAGTTCCTAAAGCTATTTTTTCCCCACCAAATATTTATTTTTTTATTTCTTTTTTTTTTGTCAAAAATATACTTTTCAAACTTCTTCTCTGAGTTTTTTTTTTTAAAAGCTCCTGTTTTTCGGTGAGGAACTACCAGGATGCAGCAGGAGCTTTTTTTTTTTTTTCCAGGACATGGCTGGGCTTTGCCCACGGATCCACCGGGTCCTGCTCCTCCAGGAACTGCCACAGGATCTTCCGAGTCCACACCACACAAACCTTTTTAAAAACGGCCTAAAAACTTTGCATGAGGTATCTGGAACATCTGAAAAGTTTTATATTTACACTGTATATACCACATGGGACTCAAAAAAACCCTGTTGCAGGATCTGGTAGCAGCCCCCAAGGCTTCCAAAATCATATTTTAGCACCCAGAGGAATGTAATTGCTATTAAAAGATGAAGTGTTACAACGGAAAAGGTCATTTTTTAGTCAAAGCTCAACCACCGGCTCCGTGGAAGGGCTTCCCAGCAGGAAAAGCTTGGACCTGCTGCTCTAAGGCTTCTCTTTCTTCCCATTCCCTAACTTTGGAGCTGACCCAGGAGGTGGAAGGCTGTAAAATAAAAATTGCATCCGACTCAAAGCCAGGATTCTCCTGTTCTTTCCAGGGAATGCTCTGAGGGAAGATGGGCTGTTTGCTCCCAGTTTTTATTAAAGCCTATTTACAGTATTTCCTGGGGATGGAAGGAGTCATGGATGGCACAAGCAGGGGAGTTACCTGTGTGTCCACCTAAGGAATGTTTTTCCTTCCCACACCTGGAGCCAGAGGATGAGGCTGCATCGTTCCAGTTCAGGATTCGGGACTTGCATTGCCCATTTCTCCCCAGTTCCACCTTAAATTCATCTCTTGGAGAAAGATCTGCCTTAATCTCAAAGGTTCTACATGCTCTGACACACTTCTGGCCAGAATGAAGAGACAAATGAAATCAGAAACCTGTGGAAGGTGGGAGCATCTCACATTGTGTCTAAGCCAATGCCAGGATGCTGAGGACCACAAAAGTCACCTGTCCTTAAAAACATCAACCTTCAGCTGTCCTCATTAGCCAAGTTAATTTTCTATCTAAGTGAATTATGTATAATAATAATATTTACATATTTAAAATATAGGCAAAATTCTTTTTTTTTTTAAATTCCAGAAATCTCTATATGAATAAGTAACTCTTCGATTCCGTAAGTTATTGATTTGGTCATGGCACAATTGTCAATAAGTCGTGTGATCCCAGGGGATGAGCAGCTCCAGATGCAAAGGAGATCACGGAGCAGGGAACTGCAGAACTCTCTGATGACCCTTTTTCTTAATAGTTTATTATCTTAACTAAATAAACCCTCCCCTTATAGAATCCTACCCCGGGATTAGATAAAAATACAAATATGTACAACGGATGAAAAAGTAACACTACTGTAAAGGCCTTGGGGGTTTTGTAGCTCACACACTTTCCCACTTTGCATTTCTCTAAAGCTCATGTGTTCAGTAAACTGTTACAAAGGTTTGCCAGTCGCCTCCCAAATTCCCTCTGCTCCGCCGGGGCCGGGAGGGAGGGAGGGAATGTGGCAGCAACCTCAAACTGTAGGTCAAGTATTAGTAATTTCACCAGCTTCACTTCCATCACCACCCTGGTCCTTCTGGGCTCCTGCAGCTCCTCCCATCACATGTTGTAGGCCACGTAAATGGGGTCCAGCTGATCCGCCAGGAAACTGTCCCGGAGGTGCATCCGCTGCTTCTCGCCTCGGGAATTGATGGGAATGACCCCGGGATCCACCACCACCACCACTCCCACGATCAGGTAATGCTCTTCCAGGACCACGTTGGTCACCAGAGGGACTAAATCCAGAGCCTCCTGCTCGCAGCCACACAGCTCCACCACCACCACCAGCAGGTTGGTCCAGGTGAACACGGCGCTGGAAGGGCAAAGGAAAACCAAC